AATACAAGCTAACAATTAAATCCAACTGAAAAAGACAAACATATTTTTGTGTCTGACTCTGAATGCACCCTGGAAATCAGCAACAGGGTACAAGCTGTCAGATTCACACAGGAAACAGGTTGGACCTCATGCTGGGGTGTCGCATGTCCCTGCTCGGTTTCCACTCATCACTGCTGCTATTCAATAATAAAGTAGATCAGAGAGAACATAGCATGTGACTCTAGTTCTCTAAGAAATGTGTTAAGACTATTAAGCTGTTGTTTACCTGCTGTTTGTCCCTTGCTATCCTGCGGTCCAGAGCGTTCTGACGCCGTCGGGCCTCCCAGTGCATGGCAGACATCCTGATGTCAACAGCTAGAGAAGGCATTCAAAAGCCAGAAAATATTTGCTATGGAATGACATGACAATGTACAAATGCTCTATGGTTACTATAAGAATAAGGCAGAGAATATGTAAAAACGATGTGGAGTGGGAAGGCCATTTCCCAAACTCAGGAGGTCTGCTGAAAGATGCTGCAGAACTGCACTAAGTGTAGGATCTAATGTTTATGCCTCATTCATGTCAAATTGTAGTTATTGTAATTTCTCGTTTCTGACTTGTAAATTGTGTTCATATCGGCATCCAAGTCATAATTACAGCTGGGATAGACCATTTTCCTGAAAGCTCAAACTTCAAGACTTAAAAAGTATGAATATTCTTTGAAGCAGACATTTATGTGTTTCTTTCATTGCTATATATTGATTAATACATCTAGGATCTCCAGTAATGAGCGAGAAGCTTAAAAAAACTGGCAGCTGCCATCTTGAGTTGTCTAATATCCTGCAAGTTGTGAACATGGGAAACCTTCAGATTATTACCTCCCCCCCACCAGTCACATAATGTGATCGTGCCCTAAAACATACATGGTCTTGCCCTTTCTAAAGAATCACCAATTTCCCATTGGACTGAATGGAAAAGTGTTGACTGGTAATGTACAGTACATGTCATTTCACTTATGGTTGTTGTTTCTGTCTTTGAAAGCTCAGTGAAATAAAGCAGACACATCCCTTGTTATGTAACAATTCTGTATCAGCAAGGGTGGGTATGGGGTAAAGGAAAAGTTCAGCAATTTTGGAAATAAATGCATTTGTTTTCTTGGAAACAGCTAGTCTGACTATGGTCAAAGGATAGTCCAGCAAAATCTACCTGTTAACACTTCTAAAGCTCATTAAGCTTCATATTATGAGGAAAGACACGTTACTATTTCCTCACTGAACCTTTCTGCGTGAATGTGAATAATTGTATTTCTCCAAATACCAAACTATTCCTTTAAAGCAGCAATATACAATTTAACTTGGCTGTTCATCTGTTGTTGTTATTTAACATAACAGACTGGATTCTCACATGAGGACATGAGGAGTATTCCCCAGTCTGTTATTTAATATAACAAACTGGGGATTTGTCTCTTCATGTGAGAATACTGAGCTTGTAGAACAGTCTGGTGCCATAACAGGTGTTAATAACAGGTGATCGGGCCCATACCGGCAACAGCAAAGCTGCCGTTCATCTTATAAGACAACAGTCTACCATCAAAATGATTTTAAAGCTGCTATTTTAATGTAATGTGGTTTTGTTGCTTTAAATCACAAATCATTGCTGCATATGAGCTGACAGGTATAACAACATATGTGTATATTACTCTGCATTGTTAATGATGCTGTTAATTCCT